ATGTGTGTGTACACATATACACACACATACACATATATGCATATATATGTATAAACATATGTATACTCCCTAGTTCTGTCCACTGAGACGGCCTGTGAGCAGCCACAGCCCAATAGCAGTGAGCACACCCAAATCTTGGCCTCTAAATATCATTCTCCAGGGCTCCTTGGATAAATGGCTGATTCCTGGGCTGGGACAGGGAAAGTATGTGATGAGCCTGGAATATCTGTGTCAGAAAGCAAAGATGTGCTCAAAGAATGATGGAGACCATGCCCAAAGGACACAAACCACCAGAAGAGGCTCCCACTGGCCAAATATGGGAAAACTTGAGCATCAAAATAAATAATGATAGTAATGGATTATAAGCCATTAAATAAAGTTGAAAACTATGAGGCCATACTAATATAAATAAATGAATAAACTGAAAGTTTGATGAGGAACAGGATAATTACACCCTCTCCTCACTTATCAACATGGTTAGGTTCCAAAGACCAGGTCACTGAGAAATCAATGTTATGTGAAAATGGAGGGTGACCACATCAGATCACACAATGGAAGATGACTACATCATTAAATAACTGCCAAATCACATCATTACCTAACTGCCAAACCACTGATAATCATGGCCCAGCCAAGCTGACACATAACCTTAACCATCAAAGTCAGCACCTCAGCGTTTGTTAACTGCCAGATGTACATTATTAATGAGCAAAATAGTAGATTTTTTACTATTGTCTAAATGCAAAATGTCCGGTAGCGAGATAATCGATAAGTGAGGAGGAGGCGTACATAGTTTTAAAGTACCTCCCTACAAAACGTATTTGTTACAAAGGAAAAAATGAGTAACTTTACAGTGCAAAAAGCTGGCAGACACTACCTTCAAGTGACCCAAGTGAACATCATCAGTAAGTGGACAAATTAAAATGTGTGTCACCTGGTAAGATGCAATAAGAACACAGCATCACTTCTGTAATGTTCCCTGCCAAAGCTGCCTAGCCTGGATCCAATCACAAGAAAACACCAGACAAACCCAAATAAGGAATATTCTGTGTGTCGAGGACATAGATGGAAGGACAGATATGAACTTTTCCAGACAGAAGAAGACTAAAGAGACATGGCAACCAAATGCAATGTGTGATTATGATCTGGATAGTTTTACTATAAAGGACATGTCATGGTTTGAATTATGTCCCCCAAAAAATGTGTGTATCAATTTGGCTGGGCCATGATTCCCAGAACTGTGTGGTTGGCCTCCATTTTGTGATTGTAATTTTATGTTAAAGAGGATTAGGGTGGGATTGTAACACCACCTTTACCCAGGTCACATCCCTGATCCAATGTAAAGGGAGTTTCCTTGGGGTGTGGCCTGCACCACCTTTTATCTCTCAAGAGATAAAAAGAAAGGGAAGCAAGCAGAGAATTGGGGACCTCATACCGTCAAGAAAGCAGTGCCAGGAGCAGAGCGCGTCCTTTGGACTGGGGTCCCTGCACCGAGAAGCTCCTAGTCCAGGGGAACACTGATGAGAACGCCAAGAGAGAGAGAAAGGCTTGCCCTGGAGCTGACACCCTGAATTTGGACTTTTAGCCTACTTTGATTGTGAGGACATAAACTTCTCTTCGTTAAAACCATCCACTTGTGGTATTTCTGTTATAGCAGCAGTAGATGACTAAAAAGGACATTATTGGGACAACTGGTGAAGTGTGAAGGGGGCCTGCTTTAGTTTTCTATCGCTGTGTAACAAATTACCACAAACATAGCGGCTTGAAACAGCAGTCATCTATTAGCTCACAGCTGTGCAGTTCAGAAGTCCAAGTAGGATGGGCTGGGCTGTAGGCTCGGGGTATCACAAAGCCAAAATCAAAGTGTTGGCCAGGTCAGGCTCTTATCTAGAGACTCTGAGAAGAATCCATTTCCTTGTGGCTGTAGGTCTGAGGTCCCCATTTCCTTGCTGGCTGTCTGCTGGGGGCTGCTCAGGTCCCTGAGGCCACCTGCATTCCTCCACATGTAGCCCCCTCCATCCTCAAAGCAGCAACACATTGAGTCCTTCTTATGTTTTAAATCTTCTAAAGTCCTTTTCTGCTCCCAGCCAGAGAAAACTCTCTGCTCTTCAAGGGGCTAATGTGATTAGATTAGGCCCAGCCAGTTAATCTCCTTATTTTAAGGTCAACTGTACCCCAATAGCTTCTTGTCTAATGTCTTCAAGCAGCTTGCAAACTTGTCTGCCAGTGGCACCCCAAATCACAGAGATATGAAAGCCGGGAGGCAGCAAGCACGTTTCCCAAAGCAACTACACTCTCCCGACAGCTGCAGCTAACATCTAGCTGGAATCACTATAAATCTGAAAGATGGCCACTCTGCACCAGAAATCCTACACACCCCATAGTAAATGTGGCTCTGAGTCCAGGATGGTGCTCCAGTTTGCCACAGGGAGGGTAGGGTGGTTACCTTCAGGTACACTTCATTTCAAATACCTGCCTGGTGTGTAATACAACAGTACAGTCTCTATCAGCCTGCTCAGATGCCCTTCCTTTTTGCCCGTTGCCATTTCTTTGGTGTATTACTTTTCCTTACCTGAGTGGAGGTGAATATGGAGAAGCGGAGAGGGTGGTGAACATACCATCAGATGACTCGTAGTACAGCGATCAGGCGCGCACAGACTCTGGAGTCAGACCAGCTGGCTCAACCCCAGCTCGGCAGCCTCCATGCAGTGTGACCCTGGACAAGTTGGCAGCCTGTACCTCCCCCGTTTCCTCCCCTGCATAGTGGGAATGTCAAGCCCTTAGCACCACATATGGCCTGCGGTCGATACTCAGAGAGTATTAGTTGTTATCATAGTGCCTCTTTCTTCAGGCATCACAGCAGTAACTGAACAGGCACAGCCAGAGTTGCTGGGGATGTTCCCTCTGTTGTTGCCTCCATGACAGGAAATGGCAGCTTCAAAAGTTTACAAGAGCGATTTGGCTGTATCTATCAAAATTTAAAACACAAACCCTCTAACTAGGTATCCTACCTCTCAGAATCTGTTCTACATTAACACCTCAACAAAGGCACAGATAACACATACAAGGATGTTCACTGAGGCACTGTCTGTGATAAGAAAACACTGAAAGTTATCCAAGGGATCATCAATAAAGGATATGTTAAATATATTCCATTAAAAAGCATGAGGTGGGGTGATAGGAACCAATGTGAACAATGCCCGTGATATAATCAAGCGAAGAAAGCAAGCTGCAGAATCATATTCATGGTATGATCCCACTGGTGTGCAAATATAAAATGTGAATATAAAATAACTATAAATATAGAAAACAGTATCATGGCATGCACAAATAAGATATGCAAACATACATACACATACGCATGAGTGTGTGTGCTTGTATGTATAAAATGAATGCTTTCATGCACGGAAAAAAGTCTGGGAAGGTATACACCAAACAATAGTGAATTATGGAGAAAGGAACAGAAATTTTTACACTTTAAAAATACCGTACTGACACAATACAGGGGAAACTAGCACAACTTGTACAAGGAAAGGTCATGGAAGCCCCATAGACACATCCAAACTCCCTGAGGGACTGAATTGCTTGGTGGAGGGCTGTGGGGACCATGGTGTTGGGGAACATCTAGCTCAATTGGCATGACACAGCTTATAAAGACAATGCTCTACATTCTACCTTGGTGAGCAGTGTCTGGGGTCTTAAAAGCCTGTGAGCGGCCATCTAAGATACTTCACTGGTCTCATCCCTTCGGGAGCAAGGGAGAATGAAGAGAACAGGATACAAGGAAAAGATTAGTCCGAAGGACTAATTGTCCACAGCTACCAATGCCTCCACCAGACTGAGTCCAGTACAGCTAGATGGTGCCCGGCTACCACCACTGACTGCTCTGACCAGGATCACAACAGAGGGTTCTGGACAGAGCTGGAGAAGGATGTAGAGCATAATTCTAACTCACAAAAAAAAGACCAGATTTACTGGCCTAAAGGAGACCGGAGAAACCTCGAGAGTATGGCCCCCAGACACCCTTTTAGCTCAGTGGTGAAGCTACCTCCAAGGTTCACTGTTCAGCATGGGAGTGGACAGCCCCATAAAACCAAATGAGACTAACGAGGTACAGGAGTCCAGTGACAAGGGCCAGAAGGCAGAAGGGGACAAGGAAGCTGGTGATAGGGAACCCAAGGTTGAGTAAGGATATTGTTGATGTGTAGTGAGATTGTTAACCATTGTCATAGGGCAACATTTGTAGTAACTGTTAAATGAGAAATTATTTTGTTCTGTAAGCCTTCATCTTAAGTGAGAATAACAGCACAACTCGAAGAGCGTAGTCAATGTCACTGCACTGTGCATGTAGAAATTTTTGAAACGGTGTATCCTTGGCTATGTGTAGTTTCATCAAAAGAAAAAGGTTGAGAAGTTAGAGGGTTAATATGTTGTGGGGTTGTTAACCAATAACATAAAACAACATGTGTACTACTGTTTCATGAGAAACTATTTGTTCTGTAAGCCTTCACCTGAAGTACCATAAAATATAAAAAAAAAAAAAATACTGTACGGAATTGTTAATAATGAAGACATACTAGTTTTATAATTTAAAAATATCTCAGTGTGCTTACAAGATAAACACTGAAGCACTTTAGGATGATGGTCATGGTATTTGCAGCTCACCCTCAAATGCTTCAGCAAATGTATAATATATATATAGAGAGAGAAAGAAAGCCAATGTGAGAAATGTTAACAGTTGGTGAATCAAGGTGAAGGGTATATGGAAGTTCATTGTACTATTCTTGCAACTTTTGTCCACGTGTGAAATATTATCAAAATGAATTTAAAAACTAAAATAAATAAAAATAAAGATAGAATGAAAGACAGTCAAGCTCAAATGAAAGCCCCCGATAGTCCCCAGGTAACAGAGGTATGGAAGGACCTCAGGGTCTGGGCAAAGCTAGTTGTCCTCCAGAAAGGACTACAGTTCAAATTCAGGCTTTAAATGGCTTTATTTTTTCCATGATTCCCCCACCCTCACCCCCAAATATCCAATGTCCTTGCAATATTGAAGGATCTTGGAATCTGAATATAGAAAGAATCACAATGGCACTTTATGGTCTGACCAAGTGATTGCAGAACGCCTTCTGTTGATGCTGGTGATCCTCGTGATTGTCTTTTACAGTCTGGCCAGGCCATCAAGGAAGGACTCTTATGGTTTGGGGCATCTGGCTGAAAACAGTCCCTCCTCCCACGATGCAGCCACAGGGTTCATCTGATTTAGTGAGAAGGTTACAGAACGGCTTTCCACCAGACAACATCCTCACCTCCGATGATCTGCTCCAATGGCCTCTGTGATGCTGCTAAAACCTTGTTCTCTGGAAAAGGAAAAAAAGCAATTTCAGTCCACGGTGAAGGATGGGCCTCTCCCACAGGAAGTCCTCGTCCCACTTCTGCTCTGTCAGCTCAGTGAAGGACCCACCCCTCTCTCCCAATTGCACGGCCTCATCCTGAGCACATCTCTTGCCCCCTACACTGCCTTCACCCAGAGACCTAGAGTTATTTCTGCCCAGGTCTTCAGACTAGGAAGAAACTGATTTTAAGTACTGACTGCTTCCTGACATCAAGCCAATGTGACCCAATTAGTAGGAATGTTGCCAGGATTCCTCAGGCCCCTCTCCTTCACATAAATGAACAACCCTGCCTTGTAAATACCACTGCCTTGGAAGCTAATCCTGAATTTCTTGGCTCTGTTTGTCCTTTGTCAAAGGAGTAACAGAGATTGATTCTTCCCCTGGGTTCAGCATGTACCCCTAAATCCTTTCTGAATGAGGAATAAATGGGAGGATGAGTAGCATCTCCTTGAGTTGAGTCATTCTGAATTGTACCACATTATATCTCCTGTTTCAAGCCACACACAGCCCTACTCACTTCAAAAGGGCCTCCAGCTCGTGCTTGACTTTGCCTACCACAGGTGGGCCCCAGTAGGTGAGGGCTGTGTACAGCTGCACCAAGCAGGCCCCTGCCCGGATCTTCTCCAGCGCATCCTGCCCACTGCTGACACCGCCAACCCCAATGATGGGAACTCTCCCTGCAGAGAAGGACATGGCCACCCTGTGAAGAAGGGCTGACGTTGGGAGAACCAGGAGCTCACAGACCCTGCCACACCCAAATCTGAAGACACAGACACCAGAATCCTTGCCTTGAGTGAGTGCATACATCTCTCGAATGGTCTGAGTTGACAAGTCCCGGAGGGGCTTCCCACTCAGCCCTCCTGTTTCAGAGCGCAGGGCACCCTGCAGGCTGGCAGGGCGACTCAAGGTGGTGTTTGTGACAATCAGTCCATCAATGCCCAGCTGCAGAGTGAGACAGAGAAATGTACCATTTGCCTGCTGGCAGCAGAACAGCCCTCTAGTCCCAGTGCCAAAGGACTCGGAAAAGGCCTCCCTGGGTCTGAGACGGCAGCCAGCCAGATGCCCACACCTACAGCCCCCAGAAAGCAAGCACTATACCAGACCTCACTATATCTCTTGAACGAGTCTATAGATTAAGCTTCAATATAACAATAGCAGCCATTATGTATTGATCACCCACAGTGTTCCACTAGGATAGGGTTTAATCCTCCTAACAACCCGCTTTATAACGTCTTGTCCAAGGCCTTCAGGTAGTAAGTGGTAGAACCAGGACTTGAAACCAGGACTGTGGGTTCCACGATCTGTGTTTTGACTACTGTCCTATGATACAGAGACCTGGTACTTAGAGGCTGGGGAGAATGAGAGAGAGAATAATCCAGTCCCAAATGAGATTGGCCAATGATGCAAGCACAAGTCTTAATGCCCTTGCTGGATGAAGATGAGGAAAGAGGGAAGAGACATGAGAAAAAGACTCACTCAGAGATTTATTCAAACATTCCCTTTGTGCTCTATGATTAATTACATCATGACAGACACCAAACCAGCCTTCAATATCCAGAGAGGAAATCACAAAGGCTGCCATTCCAGGCTAGTCCAGCTGGTCAAATGGCTTTTACAGACAAGAAGAAGCATCTCTCGTGTGTGGGTCCCAGTTTGCACCTCTCTCACCACCCCGGCGATATCCTCCTTATCCTGGGCTGTGAGGTCGGGGGCGATCTTCACCAGCACAGCCGGCTTGTGCGCTCCCTTCAGGGCGTCCCTTTCCTGCAGTACCTACAGCAACACAGCCACAGAGTGGGGACCCTGAGACTGCACCTGACGGGGCAGTCGTGACCTGCAGCCGCAGGTCAGTGTTTTCACACAAGCTATCAGACTAAAGCAACAAGGATTTCTGCTTTTCAGGAAACAAAGCCCTCAGTTATGCAAGAGACCCCCTTTAGGATGGACTTGATTAGATTCTTTTGAAGCCAGGGATTAAGTCCCTAATGTTATAGCTAGCAGTGGCATATTGAGATTTATTTAGACTTTTATTCCTAAAAGAGATGACAAGGAAACACCATCACAAGTACTGTGTGATGAAAAGTCATTCATTTCATTCATTCATTCCATGGACTAGGTGCTAGGAATACAGTGGTAAATGAAAGAGGCACGGTCTCTGCTCTCATGGAATTTAACGGTTTAACAGCGAGAACAGATAACTGGAGAATGAATGACTATTCAGTATAATCAGTGTTGTGATAGGGGATTAGAGGGTGCTTCGGGAGAGTACAGCAAGGAATCCTAACTGGTCCAGGTGTTAACAACAGGCTCTCAAAAAGTGATGCTGAAGCTTGGCCCTGGAGAATGAACAGGAGTCAGTAGGACAAGCTGGTGGAGTAGGGCATGCAGAAGAGATGTAATTGCCTACCTTGGTCAGCAGGTGGTGCAGCTTGGCCTTTCCCTGAAGGCTTCGCAGCCCTGCTGTATTGGGACTGGACACGTTCACTACCAGGTAGTCAGCCAAGGGGCCCAGGACTCGTACCCCTTCTGTGTAGTCCGCAGCAGCATCCACTGACATCTTATTCTTCCCCAGGTTTATTCCCAGTAGCAGCCCAGCTGTAAATATCACCGATCAAGAATTTAAGGCCATCCTTGACTGAACAGCCTATGAACATTATAGGGCTTCTACCTCCACGTCTGAACTTTCCTGCATCAGCTGGCAAACGTTTTGAACTATTGCACAGTGCTGCTGCTTGCTTACCAATAAACAGCTCACCATCTTTGCACGGCAATATTTGAGCCACTACTGAGATGTTTTACTGTATTGTCATTTTTAATTTAAAAAATATGGAAAATGGAGAAATTGAGTACAAATAATATGGATTAAAAAAAAAGCAGGCTTCGTAAACTTAATACAACAGAGAAACAGACAAAATCAGTAGGCCTGTCAGAAGGGTCAACTATATAATCTGAAGGGAAGCTTGCTGGACTTGAGTCAAGTGACTGGGTGTACAGTTGTAAACAAAAAACAAAATTAAAGAATATGTATAAAATACTAGAAAATATTTTAAATTATCATGTCTAAAATGTCAAGGTATTAAATATTTTATAATTCATAATTTTAGTTCTCTGAGAAGTGACTCCCCCTTTTAACTAGGGTGACCAGACATCCTGACTCCCCCAGGACAGCCATAATTACTCCTGTAGCCTGGGCATAATTATTAATGTCCTCTTTTGCTCCCTGAAAGTTTCTCAGTTTAGAGAGTAAGTGATATCGCCACCTTACTTAAAAATCCATGGGACTTATCACTTGACTTTATTTTGGACTTTCAGAAAAATATATTTTCACAAACATGGAATGTGTGAAAGCAAGGGGTTATCTGTACTTTCTTCTCCAAAGATACTATCCTATAAACAAACTATGGTACATACACACAGTGGAGTACTATGCCACGAGAAAGAACAATGATGAATCTGTGAAGCATCTCATAACATGGATGAAACTGGAGGACATTATGCTGAGTGAAATAAGTCAATCACAACAGGACAAATATTGTATGAGACCTCTATTGTAAAAACCCATGAAAAAGTTTACACACAAAAAGTAACTATCTTTGTTGGTTACCAGGGATGGGAGGGGTGGGGGGAAAATACTAAATAGACAGTAGATAAGTGCTATCTTTGGTGAAGGGTAAGACAGTACACAATACTGGGGAAACCAGCACAACTTGTACAAGGAAAGTCATGGAAGCTCCATAGACACATCCAAACTCCCTGAGGGACTGAATTGCTGGGTGGAGGCCTGCGGGGACCATGGTCTCCGGGAACATCCAGCTCAATTGGTATAACACAGTTTATAAAGACAATGTTCTACATTCTACTTTGATGAGCAGCATCTGGGGTCTTAAAAGCCTGTGAGCAGCCATCTAAGATACTCCACTGGTCTCATCCCTTCGGGAGCAAGGGAGAACGAACAGAACAGGATACAAGGAAAAGATTAGTCCAAAGGACTCATGGATCACAGCTACCAAGGCCTCCACCAGACTGAGTCCAGTACAGCTAGATGGTGCCCAGCTACCACCACTGACTACTCTGACCGGGATCACAACAGAGGGTTCTGGACAGAGCTGGGGAAGGATGTAGAAACAAAATTCTAACACAAAAATAAGACCAGATTTACTGGCCTAAAGGAGACTGGAGAAACCCCGAAAGTATGGCCCCCAGACACCCTTTTAGCTCAGTGATGAAGTCACTTCTGAGGTTCACTGTTCAGCCGGGGACTGGACGGCCCCATAAAACAAAACGGGACTAATGAGGCACAGCAGTCCAGGGACAAGGGCTAGAAGGCAGAAGGGGACAGGAAAGCTGCTGATAGGGAACCCAAGGTTGAGTAAGGACAGTGTTGATGTGCAATGAGGTTGTTAACCATTGTCATAAGGGAACATGTGTACTGTTTAATGAAAAACTATTTTGTTCTGTAAACCCTCATCTAAAGTGAGAATAGCAGCACAACTGGAAGAGCGTAGTCTACGTCACTGAACTGTGCATGTAGAAATTTTTGAAATAGTGTATCTTTGGCTATGTATATTTTCACCAAAAAAAAAAAATCAAGAACGGAGAGGGTTGACATGTTGTGGGGTTGTTAACCAATGTCATAAAACAATATGTGTACTACTGTTTAATGAGAAACTATTTGTTCTGTAAACCTTCACCTGAAGTACAATTAAAAAAAGAAAAAAAACCAAAAAACAAAGATACTATCCTATCTGCAAAGGTCAATGATACTGGCTACTTTTTTAACATCTGATGGTTGGGAACAGACCTGGAACACCAAGTTAGCTCACAAAATACATGTCAGCTCAGGCAGGATCAAAGAACATCTATACTGTTAACTACCTTCCCATACCCTAAATATAAAGTCATCCTATTTATCATCAGCTTGAAAGTAAATGAAATTTGTGTAGCTATTTTCTTGGTGTGGAGGGGTTGGGGGAGTTCAGCCCAATTAAACAAAAGCCTTATATAGCAAAGGTCCCTGGGTGGTGCATGCTGTTTACAATCAGCTGCTAACCAAAAGGTTGGCAGTTCGAACCCAACCAGAGATGCCATGGAAGAAAGGCCTGGTAACCTGCTTCCATAAATATACAGCCAAGAAAACCATATGCAGCACAGTTCCACTTTGTAACACATGGGGTCACCATGAGTCAGACAACAATCAACTTGACAACAATGGGTTTGTTTTGTTTTTCCTTACATAGCAAGGTCTCCAAGCTTCCCAAGTCTAGCACCCATTAAGACAAGCTCATTTATAAGTTTTAATTCTTTTCCACACAGTAGTCATCTGCCCAAACAGACAAGGTTTTGCAGTTAGAAGAAATTGCTGAATTATTCTATCCCAAAGGGCACCATAGCTTTTGTTAACACATGTTCCTTGACACAGTACTAGCAAGAAGCTGTCATCAAGGCTTCCAGCTGTGGGCCATCTTCCCTGATAAACACATATGTGCAGAGTACTGCTATAGGATTTCACTTCACTCCAATAAATGGTAGCACCAGAGTGGGGCTGAGAGGGTCAAAGAGGAAAATGATTCCTACTGGGCCGCTGCCTCACACAATTCCAGAGGACACCCGCGAAGTTATGTCAGGACCACATAGCCTTATGAGCACCTAGTGCAAAGTGGAGAGCCACAGAAAATGAGCATCAGCATTGCAGAAGCCTTCAAAACTGCATGCAGTCTCAGAAACAAGTCTTGAAGGATATCTTCCCAAGTTTCAGTAGAAGTTATCCCTGAATGGGGAGGTTTGTAATTTTAATTTTCTTGCAGGAATTAAGAAAATGGCACTCAAGTCCTGCTCCAATCTTAACTACTTCTATGATTAGAGGCAAGCCACATTGCTTTTCTTGCTTCCAAGCGTTCCCAGTTATAACATCCGTTCAAAACAAGGCAAAAACAGTGAGTTTTCATTAATGTCTTACTTAGTGCTGCTATAACCGAAACACCACGAATGGGTGGCTTTAACAAACCAAAATTTATTTCCTCACAGTTTAGGAGGCTGGAAGTCCGAATTCAGGGTGCAGACTCTGTAGGAAGGCTCTCTTTCTCTGTCGCTTTGAGCTTCTGCTCCTGGGGGATCTTCATGTGACTTGGCATCTCTCTTTCCCCATCTCTGCTTCCTCACTTGCTTGTTTAATCTCTTTTATATCTCAAAAGAAATTGACTTACAACAAACCCTCTTCTAATACTGTCTCATTAACATAACAAAGAAAATCCATTCCCAAATGGGATTATAACCACAGGTATCGTTATTGTTGTTAGGTGTTGGTTCCGACTCATAGCAACCCTAGGTACGATAGAAAGAAACACTGCCCAGTTCTGTACCATCCTAACAATCATTATATGCTTGAGCCCATTGTTGCAGCCACTGTGTCAGTCCATCTCATTGAGGGTCTTCCTCTTTTTTGCTGACCCTCTACCTTACCAAGCATGATGTCCTTCTCCTGGGACTGATCTCTCCTGATAACATGTTCAGAGTATGAGACGTAGTCTCGCCATCCTTGCTTCTAAGAAGCATTCTGGTTGTACTTCTTCCAAGACAGATTTGTTCGTTCTTTTGGAAGTCCATAGTATATTCAATATTCTTCGCCAACACCATAACTCAAATGTGTCAATTCTTCTTCAGTCTTCCTTATTCATTGCCCAGCTTTCACATGCATATGAGGTGATTGAAAACACCATGGCTTGGGTCAGGCACACCTTGGTCTTCAAGATGTCATCTTTGCTTTTTAACACTTTAAAGAGGCCTTTGGAGCAGGTTTTGCCAGTGCAATGCATTGTTTGATTTCTCAACTGCTGCTTCCATGAGTGTCGATTACAGATCTAAGTAAAATGAAATCCTTGACAACTTCAGTATTTTCTCTATTTATCGTGATGTTGCTTCTTGGTCCAGTTGAGAGGATTTTTGTTTTCTTTATGTTGAGGTATAATCCATACTGAAGGCTGTGGTCTTTGATCGTCATCAGTAAGTGCTTCAAGTCCTCTTCACTTTCGACAAGCAAGGTTGTGTCATCTGCAGAATGCAGGTTGTTAATGCATCTTCCTCCAATCCTGATGCTGTGTTCTTCACGTGGTCCAGTTTCTTGGATTACCTGCTCAGCATACAGACTGAATAAGTATGGTGAAATGATACAACCCTGGCACACACCTTTCCTAACTTTAAACCATGCAGTATCCCCTTGTTCTGTTTGAATGACTGCCTCTTGATCTATGTACAGGTTCCTCATGAGCACAATTAAGTGTTCTGGAACTCCTGTTCTTCACAACATTATCCATAATTTGTTACGATCCACACAGTCGAATGCCTTTGCATAGTCAATAAAACACAGGTAAACATCTTTCTGTTATTCTCTGCTTTCAGCCAAGATCCATCTGACATCAGCAATGATATCCCTGGTTCTATGTCCGCTTCTGAATCTGGCTTGAATTTCTGGCAGTCCCGTCGATGTACTGCTGCAACAACTTTTGAAACATCTGCAGCAAAATTTTACTTATGTGCAATATAAATGATATTGTTTGATACTTTACACATTCGGTTGGATCACCTTTCTTTGAAATAGGCATAAATATGGATCTCTTCCAGTCAGTTGGCCAGAAAGCTGTCTTCCAAATTTCTTGGCATAGATGAGTGAGCACTTCTAGCGCTGCATCCGTTTGTCGAAACATCTCAATTGATATTCTGTCAATTCCTGGAGCCTTGTTTTTTACCAATGCCTTCAGTGCAGCTTGGACCTCTTCCTTCAGTATCATCATTTCCTGATCATATGCTAACCCCTGAAATGGCTGAACGTCGACCAATTCTTTTTGGCATAGTGACTCCGTGTATTCTTTCCATCTTCCTTTAATTCTTCCTGCGTTGTTTTAATATTTTCCCTGTAGAATCCTTCAATGTTGCAACTTGTATAGAGGTTAGAATCTACAATACATATTTTTGGGGGACACAATTCAATCTATAACAATTAAATTGGGAAAGTCAGTTAAAATCTTGGATGGTGTGGTGAAACCAAGGAAATTCCTCGAGGAAAGGACCCCCAAGTTCCTTAGTGTTTGTTTTTTTTTTCCTATTGCTCAACCATGTTTATTCACTATCAGTGTTCTTGATGTTTATCCCACATGTTTCCTCCCCCAAAATAAAGAAAGCCCCTGTAATTCAACTCCATGTTACCTTCTGAGAGCTTGGTCTGCTTCTGCTGCCTGGCCCGTAACCTGTGCTCCACCACTGAGAATCCATGACTGTTAAATCCGTATCTGTAAGGGGACAAGGTTAGAGCCCTTCCACTAGAAGGTAAAGAATTCAGGAAGATAGTTCCATGGCTATATACTTACAGTTCCGCCACATACTTACAACTTAAATTTAAAAAAAAAGAAAATCGGAGCCAATTCTTAGAACTCCAAGGTCTAAACACCCCGAGACTCACACAGAAGTTGCCAGACCACCATCAAACATAAAGGGAAAGATCAAAATCTGCAAACAAGCCATTCAGCCAACTGGCGTTGGAAGCAGCCCTGACTCTGCAGAGGCAGCTGCCCCAGGCCTGTGAGGATCCAGCCTCCCTTCTTACTCATCCCGCTTCTGATAAGCCCATGCTTTCCTACCTCCTTGTCATGCCCCTCCTAGAACCTATCCCTCCACTCTATTTCCCCATCATTTCTGCCTATTAAAATCTTCCACGCTTCCTGACCTAGATCAAATCCTCCTTCTCCTTTTTCCAAAAAACTTCCAGTCACAAGTGCTCCCTCACCCCGTTGGCATTCATACAGTGATTTTTACCTATCTCTCTCCTGGCTCTGGATTTATATATATGCTTAAGTTTCCCCACTAGGCTATAATAATCTTGAAGGCAAGGGACATGTATTCTTTCTCTATCACCCTGTCATGAGAGCCCCACAAGGCAGGGACTTCATCTCTCCCATTCTTCTTGCGAACAAGATGGTAGCTATCGTGCAAACAAGAACGAAGACCCAGAGAAACTGGCCCAGAGCCTTGACACTGCCATGCTGTCCAACCAACCCTGGAACCACCTATTTTACCTGCTATGAGAAGAAAATAATAAACATCTATTGTGAAGCCACTTTTAATTAGGTCTTTGTTATTTGCAGCCAAAAGCAGCCTAACAGATACGGTGGCATGTGGATTTGTTGACTTAATGAGTAAATGAATGAATATCCACCTCAGTTCATTCATCCATATGTTCAACAAGCATTTACTGAACATCTACTATGTGCCAGGCACCAGGTGGAGCAAGTGCTCAAAGCACAGGCTCTCCCATCACATGCCACTTCTCGTCTACGGGGCACTGCCAACTACCACTATCTTGGTACCTACAGTTATTTGTGGCAGCCAAAATATAAACAAATATATTTTGCCCGGCCAATGCTAAAGATATTGACCCCAGCCTGCAAAGAGGTAGATAGATCAATAACCTGATCTCTAATGCCTAAAGATTTCCCCTAAAACTGTTACGATCAAGTGGATTCCGACTCATAGCAACCCTACAGGAGAGAGTAGAACTGTCCCATACGGTTTCCAAGGAGCACCTGGTGGATTTGAACTACCAACCTTTTCGTTGGCAGCCGTAGCTCTTAACCACTGCGCCACCAGATTTCCCCCAAGCAAGCACACTAAATCGAGAAGCGCAGCCAAATAAACTTCCCATGAGTCAGTTTCCCAAAAGGCCATTAATGGCTCCAAAGATGCCTATCAAGAGCTCCCCAAGGAGGCTCTTCTCAATATGTTACTAAAAAGTAGGAATTTCTTTACTTCCTAGATTTGCTGTAGTAAAAAAAATGTCCAGGGATTACAAAGAGAAGGGTTTCGTACAATCTAGAAGGATTCCCCTTACTAAAAGCAGTTGTATATGTTGATTATTAAATTCTCCTATTTAAAGCTGTGCTGTCTAATGCGAAAGCTGCTAGCCACATGTGGCTGAGCACATGCATTGTGGTTAGCCTATAAGTAAAACTCACACTGGATTTCAGAACTCATTTATCATGTTTATATTGATTACATGTTAAAATTATATTTAGTATATATGAGGTTGAATAAACTTTATTATTAAAATCAATTTCAAATATTACTTTCTAATTTTATAATGTGGCTACTAGAAAATTTAAAACTACCCATGGAACTCGCGGGCTAGGGCCTCGGAGTAACGATATGGAAGAAGCACATGCTCTGAAGTCAAAGGAGCCTGGGTCCATACTCAGGCTCTTTCATTTGTTATCTCTGTGATTGTACCGAAGTTATTTAGCTCTCTGAGCCTCAGTGGGTATACATGTTAAACTAAATAATAAAGCCTGCTTTCCAGGGTTGCTGTGAGAATACATGCCTGGCCCACAGTAGATGCTCAACAGGATTTCTGAACATTTGAGAAAAATGCGCACATTGTATGACAGGAGTGAAAAGGCAGAGGCAGATCTTACATCCCTGACAGCCCTGCCGTGAAGAAGGTGTTCTTTATTAACTCTAGGCTGCTCACCTACCTGTTAATGATGGCTTGGTCCTCGGGAAGGCGGAAGACTCTGGGTCTGGGGTTTCCTTCCTGAGGTTTTGGAGTAACGCTTCCTATCTCAACAAAGCCAAAGCCCATCTTAAAAAGTCCATCCACAGCTTCCCCATGCTTGTCAAATCCTGCAGCAATTCCTACTGGATTTCGGAATTTATGGCCCATAATCCTCACTTCCTGGGGAGAAGACAAAGTCAAATGTACAAAAGGCTGTATCAATGTTTTTCAAAGTGTGGTCCCTGGCTCACTTACATCAGGATTATCTGGGGAGCTTGTTAAACATCAGATTCCAGGGCCCAACCCTAGACTACAGAACCAGAATCTTTGGGGGAGATGGGCACTAGGGAAAGCTGCATTTTTAGTAATGCTTCCCAGGTGATTCCGATGCCCGCTTGAGGTTGGAAACCACTAGGCTCTCACTATTATTATTATCAAGACTGGGAGGCACAGAAGGACAAATACTGTATAAGACCACTATTATAAGAACTTAAGAAAAGGTTTAAACACAGAAGAAAACATTCTTTGATGGTTACGGGGGGGGGGGAGGGAGGGTGAGGGTTATTCACTAACTAGATGGTAGATAAGAATCATCTTAGGTGAAGGGAAGGACAGCACACACTACAGGGCAAGTCAGCACCACTGGACTAAACCAAAGCTAAGAAGTTTCCTCAAAACAATCAGATACTTTGAGAGACAGAGTAGCATGGACATGGTGTCTGGGGACCATGCTTTCTGGGGACATCTAGGTCAACTGGCATAACAAAGCTTATTAAGAAAATGTTCTACATCCTACTCTGGTGAGTGGCGTCTGGTCTTAAAAGCTTGCAAGCGGCCATCTAAGATGCATCAATTGGTCCCAACCACTTGTAGTAAGGGAGAACGAAGACCACCAAAGACTCAAGGAAAGTATTAGCCCAAGAGACAGAATGGGCCACATAAACCAGAGACTTCATCAGCCTGAGACCAGAAGAACTAGATGGTGCCCAGCTGCCACCAATGTATGTCCTGACAGGGAACACAACAGAGGGTCCCTGATGGAGCAGTAGAAGGATGGGGTGCAGAACTCAAATTCTAGTAAGAAGACCAGACTTAATGGTCTGACTGAGACTGGAGGTGCCCCAGAAAGCATGGCCCCTGGACTCTCTGTCAGCCCAGAACTAAAACAATTTCTGAGGCCAACTCTTCAGACGGACTGGACTGGACTATGGGACATAAAGAGATACTCGTGAAGTGTGTGCCTCTTAGTCAAGCACATACAAGAGACCAAAGGGGCAGCTTCTGTCCAGAGGTGAGATGGGAAGGCAGAGAGAGTTAGGAGCTGGTTGAATGATCATGGGGAATCAGGGGCGGAAAGGAGGAGTGTGCTGTCGCAGAATGGGGTGAGCAATTAGGGTCTCATAACAATGTATGTAAAAAAACAAAAATTGTATGGGAGACTAACTTGAAATGTAAACATTTAATTACAACAATTAAAAAAAAAAAAGACTGGGAGGAAAATCTCAGTGTTTCCTCCACTGGTTAAGGGGTGGGCACTGCCTTTTCCAGTTGTGGTTATGATTTTGTACCCTTTTATCTACTCCACTTGGTGGGAGAGAATGGCTAGTTGGTGTCAGCCCCTAGATAGTACTACCCTGAGCCCAGGGAGTGTCAAGCAGCAAAACCCTTTAATCAGCTTAATAAATCAGTCCCAGGTGTGACCCTCCTCAGCCAGGCTGATAAGAGACCCCAGCAAGGTCCCTCCCTGACCCCCAGATGCCTGTGGAGAGCTGGAGGGAGAAACGTGCTCAGCTAGTCAGACCTGATTGTTGATGGAGCCAACAAATCTAGCAGAAATATTTTAAAAGGTGTGAAAGAAATCAAGAGATGTCACAAAGCCAGTGTTTGCCAAAGGAATCTATCACCGTGAGCTGATGTGGCCGGGAAAACCTTTGAGAGAACTAGCAAGGGTCTCCAATGATGAGTACCATCTGATCCTGGAAGAGGAGGTAGAAAGGACACTCCAAGAAGGGAGAATAATAAAAACATGAAGGTAAGAATGTGCACAGCACCTCAGGGGAACAGTGAGGCAAGACACATGACAGGTCTAGAGAACCTTCCTTTCAGACAGTGGTTCTCAACCCTGGCAGAGTCCCCTCCTGGGGAGTGTCCAGCATCACTCCCAGAGATTATGGATAATGTGGTCTGACACAGGGCCTGAGCATCTATATATTCCAAAAGCCTCCCAGGTGATTCTAACACACACCAGGGTTGAGAACCACAGGTTTAGGGGAATGATGGAGAGCTAAAATTGGAAAGTTAGGTTGGGATGAGATTATGAAGAGTCTCAGCTGTCTGAGTCTTCCAGCGAGGAAGAATGAGGTACCTCAGACCGCAGTGATGCAGAACAGTGCCTAAGGGCATGGATGCCAGAGCCAGACTCCAAAGTTTGAATCTTGGCTCTGCTACTTCCTGGTTGTATGACTTTGGGCAAGTCACTTTAACAACTCTATGCTTCAGTTTCCTAATCTGTGGACGGGATGATAGTAGGACCTCTCTCATGGAACAGTTGTTAGGATTAAATGAGAATACTGCATAACACAGTAGTCCCCACATAAGAGTTAGATATAGTAAGAATTACTATTATTATTGCTGGGATTGAACTCCATGTTCCCACTGCTAACTTGGGGCTCTGGTTTCCAAAAGGGATATTCCCAGCGAGTACATTAGGGGATGCCACTCTTCACCTTGTATCTAATGCACAGGTGTTCTGGGAGCACCTACCAGCATGTCAGAGTCTTGAAACGTGGCACGAGGAAGTAGCCCTAAGGAGGTAAAACGAATAGCCAGCTTGTGGGCTGACTCAGGGTCCAGCAGCCCCTGCAGAGCTGGCATCAAGTGTTCAGCATAGAAATGCTCATCTCCTACGGCAGTCAGGTAGGAAGCGAAGAGAAGTCCTCCACCCCCCAGGATGACCACGGCATCCTGGGCCCGCTTCTGGGAAAAAGAGCACATCAGAGGCCCCCTCAATGCCAGGATGCAGCACCCTCTAAGCCCTTTACTCCCACACACACAGAGGACATAACAGCATGTCATATGAAGTGATGTCCCTGGCCTTCTGCTGACAGTGTTCTCCTTCATTTCTAGTCACACACTGGCCTCTACAGTCAGAGTCTGTATCTACACTTGTGCTGACACACACACTTACCTGGCCTTGAAGGCTTTCCTTAGGATTGCAGGCCAGATATTTTTAAGAGGGGCAGTACTGCCCCCTAGGGAGCATTTAGGGGGCATTGTTGCTGGTCACAGTGATAGGGGAGTGCTAATGGGTTTAGTGGCAACAATCGGTTAGGTCAGATTCCTGCAATGCTTGAAACAGTCTGACACATGAATTGTCCCACATCCTGTATAACTTCTGAATGCCCTCTGACACTCATGTAGGTAAAAAAAAAATTCTGTTCTTAATGATCTGAACCCAGAACTAACTGTATTTCACCACATAAAAACAAAGTATCTACTGTATGGTATTCATATACATTGACTTTCCCAGGAATGCAATTACCTGGTAAATTGAGGGACAACTGTACTGTTTTGTACTGAACTTTACCAAGAATTATTCACAATTTCAGAAAAGTGTGGTACAGTGCTTGGGGTGGTTGAGTTAACAATATACCTGTTGTTTTTGTCAGGTGCCATCAAGTCGATTTTGACTCATAGAGACCCATGTGACAGAGCAGAACTGCCCCATAGGGTTTTCTAAGCTATAATCTTTACGGGAGCAGATCGCCAGGTCTTTCTCCTGTGGAGCCACTGGGTTCGTTCCAACCACCAACCTTTTAGTTAGCAGCCAAGCACTTAACCGTTGCACCACCCGGGCTCCTTAATATATCTTAATATACCTATAGCATTCGAGTTTCTAAGTACAGGTTCAAAGAACCGACTATCTCAATTTCTAGGTGAGTCATGCCCCAAAATTTGCATATTGAAATATGTTATTTTATTATAAACTACTTTCATTTAATTTCTCCTTTATAGTCCAGTTAGGACATTGTGTTGATTTTTAAGAATTATACATAGAAAGAATACTTATACATAAATTCCATTTCAGGACAATAAAGAGAAGTTGCAAAATATGAAAAAGAGAAGCGTCAGATCTTATTGAGTGGAGAACCACTATCCTAGCTGAAACGTGATCCACAATGCTTTTCTCTAATTACCACCGCCAGATGGTGAGTCCCTCATTCATTTATTAATTCAATCATTCATCAAATATTTATTAAGCACTTCAAGGTGGGCAAAACAGACCTGATCCCTGCCTTCAAGGGGCATACAATCTCAGCACGAGACACTCAAGAATCAGTGATCATGCAAATATGTAAACATAAGGATTGCTATAAAGAAAAAAATTTAGGGTAATGGACAGACCCAAACTAGTATCAGAAGTAGGGAAAGGCTTCCCTGCTGCAGTGACTTAAAGATGATAGCTGAAGGATAAATAGGAGTTTACTAGGAGGAAGTAGGGGGAGGGAGCACATTTTTCTGGGAGAGAGAAAAGTGTAAAAAGGCTCTCAGTGACAGAAGAGAATGTGACGCACCCAAGGAATTGGGGGTGAGGGGAGTCTGTTTGGAACCGAGGAGTGTGGGAAAGCCGGGCTTAAAATGAAGCTAGAGAGATAGACTGGGTTTTCTTCCCTAAACAAGTGACATGATCAGATTTGCCTTTAAGGATCACTCCTAGCTGTTAATGTAGATCGAATAGTAGATGTCTCGGTTCTAGTCTCCTCCAGGAGATTATAGGAAGCCCCCTATGTCAATCAACAAATATTTGAGCACCTACACATGGGGTCGCCATGAGTCAGAATCGACTCCACAGCAGCTAACAACGACAAGGACGACAACAACTAGGTGCTCAAAAACCAAAACCAAACCCGCTGCCGTCGAGTCGATTACAACTCACAGAGAACCTACAGGACAGAGTAGTACTGCCCCGCAGGGTTTCAAAGGAGCAGCTGGTGGATTCGAATTGCCGACCGTTAACCACTGCGCCACCAGGGCTCCTAACTAGGTGCTAGGCCTTGGGAATACAACAATGCGCACGTCACATCTAGAGCCCTGCCCTTACAAAACTTTGTCTAGAAGGGCTGGGACCGTGTCTTATTCTAATTTCATTCCACGTTGCATGCAGCACACCATGAAAGGCGGGTGATGTGTTTACTGAGTGTCCCCGTGCCAGGCTCAATATAAATTTGACCTACCTGCACTGACACAGATCGGCAACTACCTATCCAAGTACGTGCTCTCACACACACCTTCACAAGCAAACGTATAAATAAATGCACACGCACGCGCATTTGCGGATGCTCCCACAGACACACAAACGGCCCCAAAGGGGCCCACGCTCTTGGAGTCGCCTTAAACCTACACCTCGCCCCTACCAGCCCTCCAATCTCCGCTCTCCCGACCCTACTTTTCCTCGCTGTGGCAAGAACCCCACTTGCTGGACTCACTTTCAGATGTCTCCACGCCATGCTCCTTCTGCCCCTGGTCCCGCCCCAGTCTCGCTCCCATTGGAGGAGATGGCGGCGAGCCTCCAATCCCCGCCCGGGAACTGACAACTCACCAATCGCCGGGAAGGAGGTTGGGGCGGGCGCCCCGAGAGCGCCTTCGCGACAGGGAAGGCCCTAGTCCATGCCGCGGAACTGATTTGGTACTTGCGCTGGTGCGCAAAGGGGACGGTCTTGCCTCTTCCGCCCGCGGGTAAGCTTCGTCGCTGCGGTACGCGGTGGTGCTGTCCTCAATCGAACTATACTTATCCGGTTTGCAGAGGATATGAGTCTCTGAAGCTGGGAGGCTAAGCAGAGCTTGTCCGCCAGCCTGCAGCCTCGAATCCCAGTGAGGGCCTGAGGCTCAGTGAGGAGGCAAAGGCCTGTAGAAGCCCTTGAAATGACACCTGACTCCTCTGAGCGCCGCAAGAATAAAAGTGGCCATAAGGCTTCCCACCCGGGCACACTGAAGGGGCTGTAAACCCCCAATGCTTAGCGAAAATTACATCCTTAAAAGGCCCCAATTTTTTATCTTTGTGGCCAGGCCGCACTATGAGTTTCGTGGGCCCCCTTCCACCATAAAAAGAACAAAGAAAAAAAAAGTTATATATATGTATATATGTGTGTGTGTGTGTGTGTGTATACTTGTTAGTTACCAAGGAGTGGGTTCCGACTCCTGGCGGATCCAATGTGTGCAGAGTAGAACTACTCAGTAGGGTTTTCAAGGCTGTGACCTTTCAGAAGCAGATGTCAGGTGTTGTCTTCTGAGATGCCTCTGGGTGTGTTTGAACCCCCAACCTTTTAGCTAGTGGTAGAGGGCTTAATCATTTTTTATTTGTTTATACTAAAAATTATGTTTTGCAGCTACATTGGTATAAAGATTAATATGTTAAACATTATTTGACTAAAATGTGTCTTTTTTTTTTCTGATTTTAAAAGAAATCAAAACATTTTCATGAGCCCCTGTGTTGTGGGCCTTGGTGCTGTGCCTGCTGTGCCTAATGGACAAATGGGTCTTCGTTTTGTCTTGGCATTCTGATGCAACAGATGTGGAAGATATTTTAGGAATACTAAGTTTCTAATCAAGACCACGAGTACGCAGCTTGCAGCTTTGTTGGAGTGTGGTAGATTGCAGGGCTTTATGCTGATATGTCACTTTAAGGAGCCCTGGTGGAGCAATGGTTAACTGCTGGGCTACTAACTGAAAGGTTGGCAGCTTGAACCCACCAGCAGCTCCACGGGAGAAAGATGTGACAGTCTGCTTCAGTAAAGATTACAGTCTTGGATACCCTATGGGAGCAGTTCTACTCTGTCACATGAGGTCGCTGTGAGTCGGAATCAATTCCACTGCACCCAACAACAATAATGTCACTTTACAGTCCTCTGAGCAATCATGTCTGTAATCCCTTACTTTGAACAATGCCCTGGTTGTTGGACAATTGCTTCGATAGACCCACTAAATATCAACAGCATTTATCATCATTATTGTTTGGAGGCACTACACCCACCGGTGCCATTGTCAGCCAATTGTATTGTTCTTTCCTAGGTACTCTTCCTAGGTACTCTAAACATCAGTTAAAGTAAGCTTAACTGATGCCCACCTGAAAATAACATAATAGCTGGGCTATTATCATAGAAATTAGAGCAGAAGAAAGAGTGTTTGAAACATTTTTAACTGAAGCCATTTTTTAATTTCACCATTTTATGAAGGTAGTGAATTTGAAATAAATTCATAGACCTACTAACGCCTTTAGAGACAGATTTTACTGCAGTAATTCACCTGCTAGGTGTCTCAGAGTCCACATACAATAAAAATAATTGAAAATATTTATCAAGCTAATAATTATGCTTATCAGTCTGCCTTTTACACTTTAATGTAGTAAGTTAATTCTGCATAGTTGGTCTACATAAATCACTTCTCAGCCTAGACGAAAGACTACTTAAATGTTGATTCTTCAGTTCTAAGCAACACTCTCACTAACTTTTGGATTATTTGAATTAAACTTTGTATTGATAGAGTGCTTGTGCTGTAGGCAAAGCATCCATTAAGAGAATAGATCAAGCACTGTGAAAAAGGGTTGAAATGTGCGTTACAGAACTGTGTGAGATACTGTGTAAGTTGATGATCAGAGAAGATTCCATCAGCATCAAGTTTTACATAAAAATACCTGAAAATATGTATGTATATGTGTGTGTGTGTACACAAAATGGCTTCAGTTAAACACATTTCAAACACACTTTGTCTTCTTATCTAAATTATATACATACAGTTATGCGTTGCTTAATGTCAATGATACATTCTGTGAAATAGTACGTTATGTGATTTGGATTTTATGTGAACACCACATTATATACAGGTAGTTCCTGGAGTACAAATGAGTTCCGTTCCTAACTCTGTCTTTATGTAGAATTTGTATGTAAGTTGGAATAGTTAGGTATGGTTTGTATCTAACATCAGTTAATCAAATGTTTGCCTTAGTATATAATGTACCTTTCTATGCATAAAAAATATTAAAGAAATACTTCCACATACACTAAAACTTCCTTAACATAATAATAATACAGTAATGATAATGTTTTGATGCATGTCACAAAGTAGTGCCCTTTTGTTATTACGAACCATTGTATGTACCTCAAATTTTTAATATAATAGGCTTTACAGGGGTTGGTTCATAACTATGAGTTGGACGTAAGTCGGACGTTCATAACCCAGGGGTGATGGAAAGTACAGTAAGGTACATACATAAGCCAGTAACATAGGCATCTATTACGACTATCAAGACGTGTATTATAAATTATATATGTACTGTAGCATTATACGCCTGGCAGCGCAATCACTTTGTATATGAGAGACATGAGATGCACATGTTGCATGGGGGAAACTGCTGTGTTTGCTACATCTGGTGACATCCGATATGTCCAGTTCTCCAATAGGGATTTCTGAACTCTATTATAACCTTATGGGACCACGCAAGTATATGCAAACAAATGTTATGTAGCGCGTGACTGTGTTTATATACGTGTATGCGTGTATATATATATATGTACATATATGGAAATTGACATTTTGTAAACTTCGTAAACTGGAAGTATCCTGCACCCAGATAATTCCATTGCAGTACAGTCTTGGTAAGGGTGGACTCGTCTGCTCAGACACCTTCCAAATAAATTGCAAACTCTTTATCCTGGCATTTAAAACATTTCAGTTTTCTGGTTTCAGTTCCCACTACTATCCTTCCGCCCCCTCCCCCCCGACACACAAGTAGAATTATTTCTTTCTCTTTATAAATACCTTCCTCTTTCCCACCTCTGTGCATTTATTCCTGTTGACTCCTCTACCAAGATGCCCTTTTCGTCTGTCTAAATACGTCCATTCTTATATGTTCCATTCAAATGCTGGAAATAGTTTCTTTGTCAGCTGAACTGTCATAGCACTGTGATAATACTTTTCATTGTCTTTATTGATTACAATTATTATGTCTTTTCTTTCCTAGTTAGACTATAAACTATTTGGAAGTAGAGACCACACCATATATATCCTTTAATTGATGACTGCAGTGTTTTCCAAACTGAGAAATGTATTCTTGGGTCTGCACTTTAGAGAATTTTTAATTTTTGTGCCCACTCCCGTAATGATTTTAAAAAGTAATATAAGCATATTCTGGATCCTTTGGATAACCGCCTTAACCCTGAAACCTGCCAGCAGATTTCATCTATGATCACATTTTGGCACCAAGAAAGAGAACTGGCAGTAATACATAAATGATGCGGGTGCAACTGGTGGAGACCAAATGACATGCTATGTGAATAAAGGTTAAATAAAGAAAAGTAGTGAAAGAGTTGAATTTCCCCTACAGCATGAAATAGAGTGAATGCCAAATGAAAAAGAACCTGTGTGGTCATAGGCCAGAACTGTGTTCATCTGGCAAGTGACTATTGAGTTCAGCAATATTTGAATTTCATTGGCTTTCAGTTTTGTATTTAATTTGTATTCATTCTTTCATCAAATATTTATTCTGTGGTTTGTATGATTGTGTAAGAGCTTTAGCATAGAGTTTATGCCAAATTTTATGTTTTCATGTATTTAAGAAACAGAATACCAAAACCAAACCCATTGACCTTGAGTTGATTCTGATGCGTAGCGACCCTATAGGACAGAGCAGAATTGTCCCATATGGGGTTTCCAAGGCTGTAATCCTTATGAAAGCAGGCTGCCACATCTTTCTTCTGTGGAGCGGCTGGTAGGTTAGCAGCCAAGTGTGTATCCACTGCACCACCAGGGCCCCCAAGAAACAGCATACAATAATTTAAATCAAGAATAATTTTCTTAAAAAAAAAATACATTACTCAATTTTTAGCAACACTGGCTTGGATATTCATTGTCCTCTACCCCCTTACAGTTTAGACTTAGCAAATAAAGATCTATTGTAAAGCTAAAGGCATATCCAGTTGTGTAGACACAGATGGTGCCCCAGCTGTAATGACCCATTGCTTTATTGATCTCTGCTATTTGTTTTCAGCTTACAGGAACTCCATCTGGGCCCTTAAAACAAAACCTTTTGTCTCCTTGACAAATTATTCCCAATTCCAAAAAGAATAATGTTAATAAATAAGATATAACCACCAAGAATATATTAAAGGACCAGGCAGCTGCTGAACCCCCAGACTTTTCTTGCTCATAGAGAGAATGTTCTTCAAAGGGAAAACCTGGATTTGGTTATATATCAGAACAAGTATCATTCTAGGAAGTGGATTAAATAGCCCAGAGCAACATGGAAAAAATAATTGTTATTCAGCTTAACGGGTTTGAATGCAGCTTTAAGGAAGCAGAAAATTACTGTCGTGCCCGGAGAGGATACCTTGCTTACACTTGGAACCAGAAGGTTCAAGATCTCGTCCAGGACTTTTTGGAAGAAGGGAGGAAGTGGTGGATTGGGCAAAAATTAATACTACTGAGAAAACAACGAAACAACCCAGCTACGGCTCTGAGGCTTAGTGTTTATGAAGGAAACTTCCATACTTTTGCTGTGGGACAGGAAAGAGAAGACAAATGTAAACCTTCTGCTTTTGTGTACAGAAAAAATTAGTCGCTTCATCACCATCATTTCTCTGAAATGTTTCCATTTTTGTGCTACAGCCTTTGATTTGTCTTTGTAGCAAAGGTAATGAGATTTTTCTCAAATAAGATTTTTAACCTCAAGTTAACTTGCCTAATATTTCACTAAAAATATTATGGAAGACTCTGAAGAGAGAAACCTTTTATGGTAACTTTTTTCCTAATACGTAAACATCTTTTCATTATTCTCAGCTCTAAGTTTCCTAACACAGAAACTAAGAGAGAAATTATCTGCTACTGTCTTTCTTACATAGATGTTTTCAAAATATGCAACATAATCTTTGAGATCTTAAAGAAAAATCCAAGGCATTATTACATCATTGTCATCTTCCTTAAAAGTCGAGGTAAATTAATAGTAAGCTTTGTAATAAAGAACACATAATATGAAAAATGAACAATCTATAACATGTGGGGGGAAATCCTAAATCCTGATTTTTTTCATCTATTGGAAGCTATCAAAATTTGGTTTTCAGATTAACTTTTTTAAAAATGTCTGACTTTTGAGTATGAGGCTCATTTGGGTGTGGTCTCCCTTCAGCAGATGTTGTGGCCCACCATGCCTCAAAACCCATCAACTGCACCTGCATGTCCAGAAACTCTAGTTTGATCTCATCAGAAAGGGACTTCTGCTTTGTGAGGCATTATTTCATTTGCCAGGCTGGTAAGTGATAAAACTACATGCTGACAAAGACCTAAATTTTGAAAACTGGTTCTAAATAAGGAGAATATGTGGGAGTATTTGTTAAATGGTCTGTGGTTGATGGATCAAGGGCGGATGTAGAGATTTTGATTTTCATTATCTTGATTGAAGTGATAAACTCTGTTTATTTGGAGTGCCTTCCATATGCATCCCACTCTGGTAGTTGGAAAAGAGCTGGGCCTTGATATTACCATCATGTCTTGACTTGGGTGGAGTTCAGGAAAAGTTATGTTGGTAACCACCATTTTCCACCTGTACATCCCTGATCCATTTAGGACTTGAGGCTTTGGAGGGAAGAGTACTAAAGCAAAGGAGGAAAAGAGAGAAGTATGGTGTAGGAAAATGAGAAGGTGAAGAGGGAGGGAACTGGTATCAGTTAGAAATTTGCTTCCTCAGAAGTAGATCAGAATTAAGCTTTATATGTATTTGTGTGTGTGTATAGTTTTTGTTTTGTTTTGTTTTTTTGGTTAAGCAATGTTTTCCCTGGTGGTGGTTTCTACTTTATCACATTCACATAAAGCATTTATTCTTAGCTCAGTGAATTCTCAGAGACCTTAAGATGTCTCAGATTGTCTAGGTGAAAGTATTGTTCCACGCTTTAAAAAAATCACAAATACATTCGTATTGAAATCTGAAGCATCTATGGGCAACTAAAACAAAACACATTGCTATCTTTCTCTGTTACAAGAAGGGGAAAAAAGCATCACCTTCCTCAAGTAGAAATATTCAAAGTACCTGATATCTCAAAGTATTTCAATTTATAGTTTCAAGCCACTCATTCTTCAGCTTTTCAAGCTCTTTATGATCTGTTTGTCCTGTTTTGCTATATAGCACGCTGTTGTTAAGGAGGCTGAGGTTTTAAGCCTAGTCTCTGCAATAATCAAGTGGTCATGTGTTTCATCCTCACAAACTGCACCTCTGATATTGACCAGCCATCTTACAATTGTGAACCATATTTCATCTTCATAGGAGGTTAATCAGTGCACCTCATCTCCAGAATTAGAAAAGCAACTCCTAATATAGCCCAGTTGATGATGCTTATCTATCCATTTTTCACTCTTTAAGAGTTTTTGGACATTCTCAGCTGTTCTTGGTTTTTGAATAAAAATGATACTGTAATTTATACGCTTGCAAGAGATTATTGCTATGGAATATAGAATGTTGAAGATACTCTTGGACAGAGAGAATTCTATTCAATTAATCTAAGCCAGTTATACAAATTCTGAACCTACGTTCTCAAAATGAAAGGAAGTAGGTTACCATAGTTAAGAGCTCAGACTCTGGAGTCAGACTTCCTACGTTCAAATCTTGGTTCTGTGACTTTCTAGTTTTGGCACCTTGGGCATGCAACTTAAGCTCTACCAGCCCAATTTCCTTCACAGAGTTATTATAAGGATCAAATAATAAAACGATGTTTGGCACAATATCATTATTACTACTGTTATATTATTGTACAATTTCTAATTTTTTTTCAAAGATTATTTTCTGCTCCTAGGTGGCTGCCCATTTATATCAAAGGTGAAAGTATTCTTGGAGATCCAACCTTGCTAAAGCTAACATATTAGGACAACATAATTGCTTAGAAATATTAAGAAATAACTATTAATGTAATAGAGTTTGTATATTTTATTATGAACTTATGAAATGCTTCTTTCAAAGTAATATTTTAGTGGGAGAAGTGTTTGTAAATGTCTTCCTTAACATTCAAAAAGAAATCTAATATTTAGTATTATAATACAGTATTACTGAGGTTACAAATTGACTGTCACACTTCGATAACTGAACTCCTGATCATGAGGCCAGTAATAGTTGTTTTTCTCTTAACTCAAGAAAAATAACAAGCTGAAATAATGTCCTTTATCTGAGCTAGCGTACAACTGGAGGGATTCACTTTGAATAGGAGCACAGAGTTTACAGTGACTGGAGAGAAGGCAGAATCTTTGGGTACCAATGCTGGTAGGTGGGAGGAGTCTGTGGAAGGGCTCTTTTGATTGCTTCAATTTTCTCCTTTGAGGTAGAAAACAATGTTATCACCTGAAAATGAGGATGAGGGAGGCACCTAGGCATTGGAGATTGAGTACAGAGGACGAAGTGGCGTCATCTAGGAGAGTGGAAGAGTAAAGGAATAATTTCTTGAATAAGAATCAGCACAAAGCTGTTTCCTAGGAGAAAGACACGCTGCTATCTCCCTTTCCCACGGCACTTTCTATTTCTCTGCTGAGTTCAGTAATTCCTGCAGTGTCACACAGAACTTATGATTCTGTTATATGGTTTATTATGGTAAAGGATATAACTCAGGAGTAACTCAGGATAGGAACAGGCAGGAATAACAGGAAACAACTCAGGAATAGCTCAGGAGCATCATGAAGAAGCGCTGAGGCAAGGCACAAAGTTCCTCAAAGTGGAGGGCATGTCCCTTCCCCTGGATGCTCTCCTTAAGGATTCTCTCCTTCAGGAAGCTTCTCGATGGTTCAGTGTTTCAGGCTTTTATCAGCCAGCCCACACACTCATTATTGATTACTAGGTGGGTTCCCAGATTGGTTCCTGACAGTTAATACAAACACTCGGGTGTGACCAGTGTAGCCCAGCAAAGAGGCCAGGGATAAAGACCAAACTGCCTGAGGTAACCAAAACCCCAAACCCATTGTTGTCGGGTCAATTCTGACTCATAGCGACCCTATAAAAGAGAGTAGAACTGCCCCATAGGGTTTCCGAAGAGCAGCTGGTGGATTTGAACTGCCAATATTTTGGTTAGCAGCTGAGCTCTTAACCACTGCGGCATCAGGGCTCCACTTGAGGTAAAGTAACTCTTAACCTCACAAAGACTAAATAGACTAAGGAAGTAATACAAGTACCAGGCAGGCCGCTGGAGGTTCATTATCCTGTATTTAATTTGAGATATGGTCATCATGGCTATATGATTTTCTCTAACCGTGTTCAGCAGCATAGATAAGAAACTCTTGCAAATGTACACAAGGACGCATATTCAAGAATGTTATTGCCCACAACCTCCTTTGTTTTTTGTAACAATAACAGTTGTAGAATACAGAGAATATAAAGATAAGACGTCATATCTTAATCTGAATTTAATTCCCTTGTCTTCTCGGTGTTGACCCAGTTGGTGGACCTAATTTTGAGATGCTGGCTATTAGTAGGTGAGATGACTGTGCTCCAAAGCAAAAGGGCAACTTCAGAATTCCTGTTTTTTTTTGAGTTTTCTTTTTTTTAACTAGATAGTAATCTCTAAATTGTGTTTTCCTTATGTGCACATAATGATTAAATTGTGTTTTCTTTATGTTCATGTAATAATTATTTTGTAGACTTACATCTGGAGCTATTTATCCTATAAATTAAATTAACTTTTGCATCAAACTCCAAATAGATGCCTTTTCAGACCTAAATGCCAGTCACGTAAGAAATGGAGGTAATTCTCATTTACCACAGAGACCCAAGAAGACAAAAAGAGAAGTTGCAACGCTAAGAAACAAAGTGACCTCAGGTAAGATCTTACTCCTATACCAATTCAAAAATCAATGAAAGCGACTCTTGCCCTAAAGGCTGGACTGAATTAATGCTGAAATGTTCTCAGTAAATATTTGTTGCAATATTGCAATCTTTGCTTTAATGTTACATACATTATTTTCTTGATATGCCTTTAGCCATCTTCTGTTCACATATGCCGAAATAAAACAGAAGATTTTTTCCTCCCCTACAAAATTTATCAAAAAAGAGTCTTCTTAGAGTAAAGTCCTTGCAAAGTTTTTCAGATTATAGTGTTCTCTCTTTCTTTTACATTGAAAAACAAATACTATTTGGGGAATATCCATTAGCCTGAAATGACCTCAATCAATAATAGTGTTAGATGATTATACAGATCACTTGACAGATGGGTAAAAACAGGGGCAGATTATCCAATAGGCAAGGTAAGTACGGTGCTTACCAAATCATCTGTAATGAACAATTTCATCAACGATGTGGTGAAACCCATGTGAAATTGCTCCCTACAGATTAGTAAGTAAGCACAAGTAAACCTGTGCTTACCTTGTTTACCGGTCATCTGCCCGTGTCAGGGATTGTAAATTTGAAAAAAAGGCTTTGATTCTGTAGGAAGGTACTAGGGGTTGGGAGAGAGACAGATGCCAGCCATACCTAGAAGGAGAATCTTTGATGTGGTGAAAAAATGTGAAATTGTTCGCTACAGATGATCTGGTAAGCAAGGTAAGCACTGTGCTATTGGATAATTCTCGCCTAGGTTAAAAAAAAAAAGAGACAAAGAAATTAAAAGCGGATTTAGTGATTGTTCCTCAGGCTATGACCCCACAACTGTAAGTGTTAGAAGTCCTTATGAACAAGCCCTTTAAAAATCACTTAAAAGAGGAATTGTGAAGGTGTTACTGTTGCTTAGAGATCATGAATGTATCTACAGAAAAATGGAAAAACAGACTTTTCTAAATGTTGTGTAAATGAGTACTTGTGACTTGGGGGAAAAAGTATTTAGTGATAGCCTCAGATGGAAGTGAAGATAATATATTTTGGAAAAATGTTAAATAATTCCTGAAGTTGTTCTGATTATAATTAAAGCACTAATGTTGAGGATGCATTTGAAAGGTTTGAGTAAAGCTATTTCATGAAATGTAGAATTTTGTGACAGCAATGCTTCTAAATGCATATGAAAAACTACAGTTCCCAGCATTTCCTGTTACTGATATTCTTCTTGTCTCCCCATTATCCCATTCCTTAGTGCTCAAGTTAGCTTCTCATAAAAAATTCATACACACATTGTCATGTGACCCTAGTTGCTATCCCTGTAATGTGACAGCACACTCTTCCTTTCCACTCCGGATTTCCCGTGTCCATTCAACCAGCTATTATTCCTTTCTGCCTTCTCATCTCCTCCAGACAGGAGCTGCCCATTTGGTCTCATGTATCTACATGAAGTAAGAGGTACACGCCTCACAAGTATCACTTTATGTCCCATAGTTCAGTCTAATCTTTGTCTAAAGAGTTGGCCTTGGGAATGGTTTCAGCTCTGGACCAACAGAGAGTCCGGGGGCCATGTCTTCCAGGGTCCCTCCAGTCTCAGTCAAACCATTAAGTCTGGTCTTTTTACT